TTTTGATATTGTGATGGGATATATACTTTGTCGAAAATGATTTCAGACGGAAAAATTAAGGATGTAAGGATGAGAAGCTTTTCACCTTATTTCCCGTGAAGCACTCATAATAAACATGTTTTTTAATTTCATCGTATTTGTTTATAAATTATTTTAAAAAATGAGTTTCAGAAAAAAAATTGAAAACCCAGTTTCACAGCCTGGTTTCCCAACAGAAGTTAGGTGGAATGTTAAAATACGAGTAAAAATAAGGTCATCCTTTCATTCAGTGCCGGGTGCTTTTACTTAATAACTGAACTCAACAAAACCCGCATGAAAGAATCCTTATTCTCTGCAATAGACTGAAATTTAGTAATTTCATTAGTTGATCTGATAATGGTTCTAATGAATATCGTCAGATGGTGCTTCTTTGGCCAAGAACTTCAGCCTCGATCACCCGGTAGGGTCTCATCCGTTGTACATCTCGATTTTAAAATTGTTTCCTTTTTTGATTACACGATTATTTCTCAGTATGAATAAGATGAATGATATTTGAAAAATAGTTTTAAGTTTTACAAGCATTTGGCATGGCACTGGAATCTCTATTCGATTTCTTGAATCTCTTAGAGAAGAAGCCTGGAAATCATCGTTCAGATTATCGAGAAGTTCGCTGAGGAATTGGGCGGGTAAAAAAAGGTTTTCTTTTACGTAGAATTGCTGGGCTTTTTTACAAACTGGGGGACTCCAAAAATCGTATTTTATCCAGTATTTTAAAGCAGTTATTTCTCTTACCTGGTGTCGACTCCGCTTTGTTCTCCTTTGTATTTTCCTTTGCGGCCAATAATAACTTCTCGGAAAACCTTTTAAAAATATATACGTTTTAATGTGTTAATGAAACGGAAGTGAAATAACTAAAATTAAAGACAAGGTTCAAGGATTGAATAATAGAAAACCTCCGCTCTTTTTGTAACAATAAACTTATTCACACAGAAGAGTGTCCACAATTCCTCGATCTCCGACTGTTGTTTGAAAAGCATTCCAAAAGCGGCCGCTTTCAAATATGATATGGAAGGACAATCGTTTTTCAAAGTCGTGTTAATATTCAATTTGTTTCGTATTTGCTCTTTATAACTTAGCATTGTTACCCACGAGTTTTAATAAGCTTACGGGCTTGTCTAAACACAGATGATAACATATGTTTAAAAGTGATTTCAGGCTAAGGTTACCTGTACAGTCACTCTTTTATAGACAGTTGTCGTCGGATTTACTGTCCATAAAGTCAAAGATGAAAGTAAGGCGGGGAACACTTTGAAAAAGGAATCACGTTCCTCCTAGCTTTCCTATCTTTTTTTGTTTTGTTTTTTTTAATACAAATATCAGAGAAAGACTATTTAAAGTCCGTATAAACTCAATTCATGTAGTGCTGGCTCATTGACCATTCATATTTGCTTTTGGGAGGAAGCATAAATTTACATAGAATGTGAATTACATTTATTTACTTTTGATCTACTCATCGCTACAAAAATGAAAATGATAGTCTACAAAAGCTTCCTTACTTCCGCTGAGATTAATTCTGTAGTTCTTAAAACTTTGAAGTGTACAGCGCACATGAATTAAGATTTAATAATAAAGTTTACAACTGAATGACAGTTGCTCGGTTTAGGTACGAATTTCCCCTAAATCCAGTAACGTAACGTTGAAGAGATTCGAAGCAAAACTGAATCTAAATTTCCAAAAATAATACTGATTAAAAAATACTTTCAAAGAGAGTAACCCAAGTAGTTTTTGTTTTATTTTGTCACAAAGAGAAACCTGATCGAGATAAGAAAAGGAGGATATTAAATAAATGCTCATTTATCTCATGTAAGAAATCATATTCAAAAGAGCTCGATCACCATACCCCAATGACACCTAACAAGTTAGGATACTGATCCGTTATGATGATTGTTTCCTTCCTCTGTTCGTCCATTTCTTAGAAAACAACTGCAACAGCTATTAAAACGGTACACTTACCTGCTATCTAAGGCCTGGTTCAGACGCCTTACTTTTCATGTGCCGAACCTAACTGAATAAGTTCGACTTTGGAGCGACACTGGCGCGACATCTGACTCAGACAGCGTACCGTGTGTCGAACCTAAGTTAAGTTCGACAAAAGTTCGACAGACTCTGTCGAACTTAACGCTTTTGCCGCACCAAACTAAAACTGCCGTACCAAATTGATTCAGACGCCGCTCTTTTGCCGTACTTAATTCATCAGTTAGGTTCGGCACATGAGTGGAGCGGCGTCTGAACCGGGCCTAAGGTATTCTGTAAGTATAGCTTGGCCCAATGAAAGAGTGCGTACGTCTCCATTGAGGCTGTGGGTATCATATGACACTCGGGAAAACGGGAAGATACGTGCAAGGGAAGATGTTGTAACTTAACAATTAATGAATGAGGCTGAGTATATTATGAAGAATTATGGAGATCGAGGAGGGTGTTATCCGTCCAGGCCGTATTCGTATTCGCACTTGGATATCCAAACGTCACACGGAGGGTCTTACATGAAATATCTCCCGTGCAAAAATGACGGTCCGGTCGAATGTTCAGGTTAAACGTGCGATCATGTTTATAACGTTTGTCTATTCCTCGACGAGGAAAAATTAATCCATTATTTACCACAGCAGAAATGGAATATTCTCTGTTTGTATTCATCGGACTAAGATTTATTCTGATTTTACAGCAGCCTGATTCTATGAGTGAATATTCGATCATAGAAGTTGGTAGGAGGACTAAATTAGATTTAAACTTTTCTTTGCTCTTTATTTCATCTTAAATAATTGTCCTCTGGATTCCCTTTATCTCATTTTCTATACAATTTCAATTGAGTTTCCTCTTCACGACACCTGAGAGAACCGTACGTCTTCCAGTTCCAAAGCCAGTATTCACATGCTTTCAGAGGAAAACTACTGATATATTTCTCATATTTGTTTGCATTTATGTACAACCTGAAGATGGCATTCTTTATACATATATATATATTTATTTACATATTATGCCAGTTCACCGTTAAGGAGCTACTCTTACTATTAGAATTCAATTAAACATAGGATGTGTGCAGTTCGAGAAATTGATATAGATGCATAGGTCATCATCATGATAACACAATGCAATATTTTTCAGAATTTTTATCTTCTTTCCATCGAAATGATAAATAATCATTGTAAAGAAGACACGTCTATTTAACAACCAAATATAGACAGAGGGTACACCGTGCGCAGAGTATATCCGCCCATTAACGATACCATGTACAGGCAAAAAAAACATAAACAGAAAATTAAGTCAACCTGCTAAAGCTCAAATGTTTTGGATGACTAATCACATATGAGATGAGTCGAAATATTCAAAGGGAAATATCTATGCGATAAAAGATTTCTGAACTCTTTCTTCAGTTTTTCAATTAGCGGAGTTTTTATAGTCGCATACACCTGAACGATGTTAATAGTCTTACTACATGTACGATTATTGCCTATAAGTAATAATTTATGTTATCTTTAATTATCTGTTTATACTCTTATGTTCCCAGGGTTTGTTGAATAATAACGTTTTATCTTGTAGAGTACTTTCTAAACTAAGGCCTAGGCCAAACGTTGGACTTTTCAAGAGACGAACCAAACTTAGTGAGTTAAGTTCTCAAAAAGTTCGACGTCTGGCTCAGTTAAGTTCTTCTGAATGAGTTTGATTGTCCAACACGTTCCAATCTATCCGTCTGCTTCGGACGGATAGAACGTCTGAAGATCGTCTGCGGGACAAAAGTCGATCTTTACATGTCACTATTTTTAAACTAATAAACTAAAAATTTGTATGATAATGTTATATTTAACCTTGTTCGGGAGAAAGTTAATTACTCAGTTGATTGGTTCATCGCATCCTAAGTTCGACGTTTGACCCAGCAGACTTAGGTTCGTCTCATGAAAAGTTCGACGCTTGGCCTAGGCCTAAGAAGATTTAACTTGAGTGTTTACTTCTTCGGCTCGTTTTCATTTAAATCAACGTTAGTATTTCCTTAGTATGTTGTCTTTAAACACTCCATTTACTTGAGGGAATTTTCAAGAAGTGATATAATACTGAAAACTTCGTCTTAATATTTGACCTCGCTTTGCCGTGCCTCGTAGTTTTACAAAACAATGCATACGTAAACAAAATCTGTATAACAGAGACTTGACTCATGAGGCAATGTTATATTAATGTCCCGTTCACACCCAGCAGGAAAATATTCACTTACACCGGGATTAATATGAAGAAAAAGTGGCTTTTACAAATGGATGAAGTAACCTTAAAGTTTAACTGTGGTACTTTCGCTTTTGTCAAGTTTGCAGTCGAAAAAATTCAGTAAGCAGCTGTTATCAAGGGAACAATTCTAAACTGTGCTTTACTAAATGGCGTTTGAACGTGTTATCGGCCTTGGCCTGAAAGGGGAAGTTAATATTTAAAGATATATTTAAACCTTAGAGGTCTTTGTGGATCTGGCCCACAGGATCCAACGTAGCCACCTAGTATATCTCCCTCTAGGCTAGCTTGGGACGTTTCGAGAGAAAGACTCTCGAGAAACGTCCCAGAGACAGTCCTTGATATTGTCCTTGATAGGGTTCTTCTGTCCCGTCATCCCGACCTCAAGTTTCGCTCAATCCCGTAATCCCGAGGGATATTTTGGGCATTCCGCATCCTGCGATTGTTTTCAATTGCTCCAAAATCCCGTATCCCAGTTTTCAAATAAAGCAAATCCCGGATCCCGAAAAACTTATTGGGGACATTCCCAGAGGTAGGGAGCGAGAAGAGGCGGCTTGATTCGCCGACTAGACTATCAGGCATCAGTGGTATAAATATGTTAACGTTCGCATCTATTTACAACGTGTCCATATCAATCATTCCTCAAACCATGTATCGCTTCTAGTTGCATTTTAAAATCGGGTTTCGTACGTCACTTCATCAGATTCGCTGGTTTTTCTGGACAAGTCACGAAAGAATCCCTTTATACCTCTACGGGATGGGTCACGTTCCAGAGTAGAGAATCCAGACCACTGATTGGTCCTCCTTGTAACACTGTCGACTGCTGGTTGTTTGAGGCAGTTGGCGAGTAGGCGTTTAAGTCCTTTGCGATAACTTTCGTTAAAAACGAGATAAATGCATGGATTAATGGCGCCATTGACGTGTGAGGGTACAAACAGTGACCACACAAGAAACAGGGGCCAGCACTCTAACTTGTTGTAGGCGAATGCTATCATAAAAAGAGCAATGTAGTTTGGAATCCAACAAAATGCAAAAAGAAAAACGACGGTGACAAGCATCTTGATCACAGCCACATTTTGCGCCTGTACTCTGACCTGTGACATATTCTCGACAAAGACTTGTCGCTTCTTTAAAACGAGAATGGTCAAGAAGTACATTACAGCCATCAACAGGAGAGGCACGACGTACAAAAAAGTAAATTTAGCTCCCACCTCAATCTTGTAGAACCTAAGATTAGTTTCCAGATCGTCGGACCACCGGCCAAAGCATTTGTAGCCTTTGTTCCCTCCACGTACTCTGTATTTAATAAAAACCGTACACAATGATGCTGCAGCAAGCAGCCACAACAACAGGACAACCAACTTGACGTACCGTTTAGAAAGGGGTTTTCTAAAAACGTGGGCGATGGCCAGATACCTGTCCGCAGAAAGGGCAATCAGAGTAAAAACGGACGCAGCAAGAGAGACCATATTGAGAAAATGAACAAGTTTGCACGTGATGTCGCCAATCAATCCTCCAAACCATCCGTCTCCGCTATACATTACCAAAACCGAAATTGGCACAGAGACGAGGGCGTCAAAAATATCAGCGACGGCCAGGGATATGATAAAGAAATTGAATGGCACTTTACGAATTCTCTTTCTTGTTTTAGCGATAGTAATTATGGCACAATTTCCAAGGAGGGCGATGATCGCTATAACGGCATAAACAGCGGTCAAAACGATTTTTGTGGCGATACTTGGCGAACTAAGGGAACAAGGGAGCGTCACTGTTGAGTTGTTCATCTCTGCAAAAGAATTAACACAAAAATATTCGCTTTTGCCTGATAATTATAGATACAGTACAAAACAGTACAAGACCTTTAATTATTGGTTTGTCCAAGAGTCGGCTTTTTCATAAGCAATTGACATCTTCAATATAAATGTTTACATGAGACGATTCGCAACGACGATTTTTAGCGGAACACAGAGTTGCAACATTGTTGCGACATTGTTTCGAATGGTTACAACATTGTTCCAACATTGCAACGCTCTGTTGCGCTAAAAATCTTCGTTGCGAATCGTCCCGTGTAACATTACCTTAACAAGATGAAGTTTTGAATTCCGCATTCCAAACTTACTAGGTTCTTTCGAACTGGCAGTTCTTCACAGTAGGATTTTAGCCAGGTGGATATTTTTTAAGTAAAAATTCAACTCGAAACTGGACAGATGACACAGATGAGACAGTTTTTTCTTCGGGGTATATGTTTGATAGTCTTGTGAATCATATTTAACAAGGCGTTCTGGCTTAGGGGAGGGGTAGGTGGGCAGTTTTCCAGAAACCTAAATTGATCTTTCATTCAACGCTCAGCGTATTTTTTTAACACTCAAAAACGTATTGAAAAAAAGGTATTTGAAAACGTTCAACAAGAACTACTAAATATACAAAATCCTTCCTTTAAGATGTTGATCCTTATCGACAATCGACTTCTTTTGTTTTTTATGATACACTTATTTGCTTAAAATGGGTGAAAAACGTAGCTTTGGATCAGTTAAGTTTAGGCATCATATAAGTACATAGAATACACTTAAAGAAGTGTGATTCTCAAGCAGTATTCAAGACGTTTTTCCGCTGGCGGTTTATGTTCCAAAAATGTCATCGTCTCCTTTTTGCACATCTTGGCCAAGGTTTATCTATCTGATTAATGTCCTTTAATGGTGATTTTATGACAGCCGTGTCTAAGAGAAAGATTGCGACCTCAGTATGCGCTGCACCATTTCTATATTAACTTCAAGGTTAGAGGTAACTGTTGAGCGTGATTTATTTAAGACTTTTTTAAACCTTTTTCTGTGCGGGCGATTTTAACCTAGGTTAGAAACCGAAACTTTGCTTTTTGAAAGCAATTTCAAGAAGAAAGTAGGCGAGCAAAGTAAGAGAGAAAGAGACTCACCAAGCAAACATCCACTGCATGTACGTTTGTACGTCCGCGTCAAGTCCAAATGGGAATGTAGTTTATTTTGTGGCAGATCAAAAAGGAACAATGAAGTGCTCCTGGAATTTCCTCCAAAAATAAATAATTACGGTAAATGTATAATGTATGATAACATTAATTTAAATGAGGAAGGAAGCAACAGAGCCAAAGATCATCAAAGAGCCGAATATTTGAATAGTGTCTTGCCGCCGCTGCCGGTCCAACCCCCTGGCAGCTGTAAATGAATTTTTTTTGTAAAGTGTTCACAAATATAATGTTGAAGAAATTCCTCATTTCAGTCACGAACCTAAAAATCTATGGAGAAAATAAAGAAAAACCATAGAGACAGTATTCGCCAACCTAAGGTTCTTCATTTATGAAAAGGGACATGCAGAATGTTCCGCTTTTCTAGCTTTTCTCTTTTCTTGCGTTTTCTTTTTACAGTCCTTTATAATGTTTCCATGTATAAATTAATTGTTTCTTGTCTAACTTATATGAAGATATAGTAACAATTCATTAATGCTTCGCAAACATTCATTTAGGAGAGCCATAGTCATAACTTTTCATTTATTGCAGTTAAAAGAAGACAAAGTGTCTGATAAAATTGTTTTATCTACTAATAAAACTGACGAAAGCGGTAGAATCATAAAGGCTAGGGGAAGCTATGTTTAATTGTATCGAATATTTTCTTTTGAAAAAAAAATGAAACGTATCAATCTAGTTTTTAAGTAGCCCTTCTGTGATTGGTAGATTCTGTCAGCCCACACAGGCCCACTTAAGAGGCGTATCGTTACTGTGAAGAATACCGTCATTCTAATTATACACAGTTTCACCTGGAGACTGAACTTTTATATTGTATACGGAAACGGTAACAAGAAATTAGGAGCTATATTGATCTTCTTGGCGATCCATAATAAATGAAATCCTCGGTCCTTTCTCCTTATCTCAAGACTTATTTTATTTACGTCAACTAAGTTTTTAAACGTGATTTTAGCGACTGTTCAGTAAATCACAAATCTAGTTGCCTTTAGATAGTAATGTGTACTCGCAAAATTTCAGCCAAATATGTGCAAAAATCAGCAAACTAGAAATCACTCGCAAAATACGAATCAAGTTTCCAACTCGCAGAACGGTGCATGGCACTGCGCCAAAGTATTAGTACCCCTGAGGTACCACCATAGCTCCATTACCTTGATTTGATGGTGAGTAATTGAGTGGGTAATATCTGAGGAGATTTATCCGAGAAAAAGTAACTGAATTATACCGATTTCTTTACAGAGTAAAATAAAAACATTAAACCAAGTCATAGTTTTTCATAGTCTTTTCATGTTTTACGCTACGTTTTGATCCTAAAATGAAACAATTAAAGATTCCAGTAGGCATATGCGATGGCTATACGCTTATACTCCAAATAAATGGTGGTAATCAGGAGAATACGAGGGCTCTGTCTTTTTTTAGGAAATCTTGTGGGCCGTACATTCACTACAAAACATTCTATTTATAGCTTATTTATCGAGTTCACATCCCAAAGGATTCAGGAACGTCCCTAAACTCCGATAAGACGTTTTGATTATCGTGTTCGCATCTTAAGGGAATCGTTTTAGATATCGAAAAACGAATTTTGGCTTTTTGAAACCGATACCTTTTTCCGGCGAAAAGGGCAAGATAGCAACCTGTCAAAAACAAAACATGTACAAAATTGTCTGGATTTGCTTTTAAATGGCACCAGGCATTATATTTTTAGCCCGTTATAAAAGCAAGGGAGACACATAATAGGTGATACGGGGTAGTTAAAATTTTCATTTGTTTGCATTGAGTTTCATGAAATCGTTTACTCGCCTATTCAACTTTTGTTTTTGTTTAGTTTTTCATCTCGCCTAAGGAAGATTCACCTACATCTAAATCTTTAAAGATTTAATACCGTATGATTTCGCAAAAAGGTAAAACGCTTTCTATTTGTAGGGCCGCCGAAAAGTATGATAACGCATTATTATTGTTATTTCGCTAGGCGCTGTTGCCCCCTAGTCTGTCTAAATGAACGAAGAGACATACCATAAGATGTTTTCCTAGAACTGCAATTGAGCAGCGAAAAAGTAACTAAACAGAGAAAGGAAAGGAAGTGAACGTAATTAGCTAAGCAACCACTTAATTTTGTTTTTTTATTGAGTGAGGCTCGCTGGAAAAAATGAATCACCAACTTCGTGGAGGGAAAGCGCACCATTTTCTAATATAAATACATGCAGTCCAGTTTTATACCCAAAATAATAAAGGCTTTATTAGCATTACTGGTTATTGGCTTATTTGGTAAAGGGTATTTTGGCCCTCGAATTAACTCCGCAATGCTATTTACTTGTCATGAGTGTCTTGAGTGACCACCAAATGATAGCAATATTCTATGCCCAAAGTAACTTTCATTGAATCAGCTGCTTGAGGCTAACAAACGAGAATTTCAGGCTGTCCTAAGGAGAAAAAAATTTGATATTAATTTTAAAAAAGAATATTTGTTTTTATTTTTATTACAGCAAAACGATTTGATACACAACTAAGCTTTGTATCCAATCAATTTGGAAGCATATATTCTAGTTTACATAAAGTGTATGTATCTTAATCTGCTACTACAATGTAGCCACACAAAGGTAGAATAAAACGATTGAAAATTGTTGGAAAACGACCTTTTTTTTAAAAGCTTGACATTCCTTTCTTGGTGCCAGTAAAACTCAAACCCATTTAGATCGGGGAGGCTTTTTATTGGCTTTTTTCACTGCGAACGTTAAAGATTCAAAGTGCGTTAGCCAACTTCTTGATTTCATCGCACACCTTACTATTATTGGGTCCTGCCAATAAATTCACTAATATGACATCATAATAGACCTTTGCCACGCGGCCGCCATTTTGTCTCAGGAGATTTGAAAAGCTTTGTTTATGCACGGCTACCCTCGTTCTCTCTACGAGGCCAGCCGTGCATAAACAAAGCTTTTCCTGATCTCCTGAGACAAAATGACCGCCGCGTGACAAAGGACTATGACGTCCAATTATTGTTATTGTGTCAATCAAGTTATGCAGTCAGATAATGGAAATGATAAACACATTATTCTGCATATATTTGGTGGTGGCCTTATCAGGAGCAGTCTTGAAGTTATAGAGGGAGGCCTCGGAAGCACCGTTCGATTGGGAAATCCAAAAAAAGGATTTGAAAAACTGTCCTTAGGAACAGCGGTCTTGCACGCGCACGCATAACTAGCAAAACGTAGACCGCAGTTCACGAGAACAGTTTTGCGAATCCTTTTTCGGATTTCCCAATCGAACGGTAAAAAGGAAATCCATGAAATCCGTAATTGGATTTCCTAATTGAAATCCACCCTGAGGACGGATTTCTCGGAGGTGAAATCCGTTTTCGCATTTCGCGTTCGATTGCAAATCCGAAATCCGGATTTCCCAATCGAACGCAACCCAAAATGGCGTTCAGATTTTCTGAGTAAGTTATGTGCCATTTTTGCATACCCATCTCCGCGACAGACATTAGTGACTGTATTAAGTGCAGTTTTTCGCCATGTTAACATGCGATTAAATGAGCCATTTTAACCCCAATTTTTGTTAAGCCCAGGATTAATGGCCTAAAGGCAGCTGCGCCACTGGGAAGAAAAAGATCATGGAAATCGAGACATGTACAGAACTGTTACAATTCTCTGAATCAAAAATTTACACGGCGTACTTCGCTAATAGAATAATCTGAGAAAACAGCCCTCTCTAATCGTTCCACGCCGCTAGGGATGTTTCGCCAGGAGAGTGCATAAATCTCGGCCTTCACCGCTACCGCACAATGAGACCGCAGTCCCAAAGCCTCGTTGACTGTGAATTTAGACAAATGTTGAAATCACCAGCTGCTTTAACTTGGGATTTATGGATTAAAGAACGAGGTATCCCGTTAGATGTATAGCGTGCCTGCTTCGTTTTATGTGGATAAAAGATAGAGGTATATAATATTACTTGTGTACCGGGTGTGCTTGTTTCGCCTCATTGGCCGTTTTCTCACTAGTGTTACAGAAGTAAATGCGCTCTTTCCATGAATAATATTTTAGCTTCTAGAAATTGTGATTTTACGTAAATATGCAAACTGACAAGATTAACCATCTTTTATTTAACTAATTTTTATTACGATGAAAGATGGACTGCTGATGTTTTGATATATTAACAGTTATCTCTTTTGGAATCAGCTGAATCAGCTTTAATGCTCGGACATCTTGTCCCCAACTTTGACATTGGTTTAATTAATTTATCTCTTTAGTGTTAATTGAACGTTAATGAGTAAAACCTATAATCAGATAAGTTCAAAGGGTAGACTATAAAAACAGCAAAAGTCTTTGATTAATCGGATTAAGAAGAACACGAATAGTGAGAACCAAAGGATAAAAAGCAGACAAGGAACTGAGAGAGATAAGAGAAGAAAAGTGAAGGGACAGAGAAACTGTCAGGCAATAAGAAACTCAGTTAAGGAAACTGTAAGTCTATTACTTAAAAATAAATCCTATTGTCCTTCTGAGAACGACTCCATCACCACGTCCTGGTCAAGCAAAACCTCTATAGTTTATCACTTGTGGAAAGTTCGTTAACACTAGGAACGGATAACCCGTCTCAGACGGATAATCCGTTTCTAGGGTGAAAACGGCCATTGCACCGCGAACCGCGGTACTAGCAGGAGTTGTTGGGGAAAATGGCCAGATATTGAACTTTAGCCCTTAGGCTACTAGAAAGATGCAAACCTGCAGCGTCATATTCATATCAGATTTCTCTTGTTGCCCTTGTAACAGTGTATTTCGCTTATAGAAGGACGAATGTCCTTAGAACTATATTAAATTCATTTGAAATTGAATCGCCGAACGAGTGTTCTTGTTCTTGGTCGGGACACGTTTAGACACCTTCAAAATTCACACGGTGAACGAGAAGATAATTGATTGAAGATACATGTCTACGCGCTACGCATCGTTTTGGGTATTCGAATTTATTGAAAGGCTTCCTTGGCTTAATGTTAATTTTCTCTTAGTGCAATCAACATTTACACGGCGTACTTCGCTTATGAAG